ACAAATCCTATGTATTAGAATCATCATCATCATAAGGTCGTCAGTCCTAAGACTGGTTGGACACGTACCTCCACTCTTTCCTGTCCTGAGCTAAACTTCGCATTTCCCTAAAACTAGAACAACCCACATCCTTAGCTATTTGCGAACAGTAATCTAATCTAGGTCTACCTCTACCCCTCCTAACTCCTGTTTCTGCCCCTAATATGTCTCTGACTAGACCTTCATGCCTAAGAAGGTGTGCTACCAACCTATCCCGCTTATTTTTTATTGACTTCCATAGAGTCCTGTGTTCTCCTATTCTTTCCAATACCTCTTCATTTCTAACCTTTTCTATCTACGATATCCTCATCATCCACCTATAACACCACATTTCGAACGCTTCTAACCTTTTCTTTTCCGCCGCGTCCACTGTCCATGTTTCGCACCCGTACAATGCCGTGCTCCAAACATACACTTTTAACAACCTTTTTCGAATTTCTAAATTAACCGTTCGCGAGCATAGAAGTGACTTCTTTTTATTAAAGGCGACACGACCCTGCGCTATCCTCTGCTTTATATCCCTACTACTCCTTCCATCCTGACTTATCTGACTTCCTAGGTATCTACAATCAGCCACTTCTTCTAATTCTTCGTCTCCTATCTTTATATTCGCTCTTTCGCTACTTCTTCTTCCCTTGCATACCAGTATTTTAGTTTTACTTTATTTATTTTCATACAGTACTGATCTGTCAGTACCGCTTCCATTTTATTTAAAGCTATCTCTAGGTCCTCCTTGCTAGATGCTAATACTGCTATATCATCTGCAAATCTAAGCATACTAATCTTTTGCCCTTGCACATCTATCCCTACAGTTGCACTGTCTTTAATGATGTTGATGGCGTCTTCGATGTATAGATTAAAAAGTAGTGGTGACAGTGTGCATCCCTGCCTGACTCCCTTCCTATTATTTACTTCTCTACGTTGCATCCCTAGCTCTATAACTGCCTGTTGCTCTTTATACAAACTCTTATGTTAGAATATCAGAAAAAATTTCTATTGGATTTCGAACAAGCAGTAGAGGGCGCCTGTTACGTTCTAAAGTAAAACTTGAGCTTGGGAGCTGATGTGGACAAAAAATTAATGACTTGTATATGCATACATGCGTGGTAATGCCTTTTTTACTATTATTCATGATCCGCGGCAAAAAGCTAATTTGAACGACCACTAAAAAAGCTGCTCGAGTCGTTTTAGTACGAAAGTAAGGCGGGCACCTCATTTGCCTTTGAATGGGACTCGGTCGCCGACGTGATGCAGTTTCTTTGCTCAGAAGAGATGTCTCATTCCTTTGTGCTATTTTTATACTAAACAAAAATTTCCGAGATAACGGGATGATCCACGCCAACGATCAATCGTTTAGTGAAGCCGAAAGTGGAGAGATTAATATTGACGGCGCGATTCAAACTAGTCAAGAAATTGATTTCTTGAAAAATGCTTTTTTTTCTATCAAATGGTCTATTGTATACACTTTTTTAATGTTCAATACTCAGTAGCGTAACAAGAGGGTGGGGGCAAAGGGAGCCATGGGGGACAGCGCAAATTTAGGGGCGGCAAAAATATTTTTTTCGGAATTAGATAGAATCAGGTTTGCCTCACATTTTATTTACAAATCGTGTATCATATGGAAGAAAGCACAAATTTTCTTTTTCACACAAAAAAATTAAATTTTTAAGGTCATTCAAGTATCACGTAAACCAAATTTTAGTAAGTTTTAGCCCCCCTTGTCAGTAAATGTAAGCAAAGCTCTTTCCCCTTGGTACCTGCAAATTTTCTCAAAATCTTTTTAACTTAACCATAAAACTCCGCGTGAGAGAGCATTAACAATTATTTTAGGGAAACCCCCCAAACATTCGTTTTGCTTTCAGACATAGACAAGTAGGGGTTGTCATATTTGTTCAAATGAGAATCTACTAAATTTTACAGAAAAACCAGTGAATAAATAAGTAAATATTACAAACGTAATCACTAACCAAACCCCCGTCCCCATATCATGAAAAATAAACAAAGTAAAGACCCCCCCCCATCTTCCTTAGGTGTTTACGTAATAATAGACCTCTTACTCTTGCGGTACCCCTGATAGAGCAACTGTTACAATTTATTAACTACTCAATCATAGACAGGTTTTTTGTAATAGACCCAAAAACTCAAAATCGTAGTTTTGAAATATTTTGCAATTTGGAAGTCACAATAACATTGCTGAATAATTAACCAGCTTGCACCAATTAAAATGTCATTCGTTTAAAAAAATGTACTTAATTAAACCATGGGGACTTACTCCAAACACCATAACACTTTAAAAAACGGGGACACGTGTTTCGTTCATTTATATTGTAAGCATCTTGGGTGGAAAATGTTCACAATATGTGTTGTGATTTTTGAGGTAAGTCCTCTTGGTTCAATTATTTACTTTAACACTGTCTCGTTTTATATTTTTATTAAAATGCTTAATACATAGTATCCTGCAAATGTTTGAAGCCACCAGTAAAGTGTGGATTTTTGTTGGACTTTTGGCCAATACTTTTCACCGAATTATTCAATTTGTATTCTAATATTACATAAATGATAAAAACATAATATTATATGATCATTAGATGGGAGAATCTACAAATTACGTATTAATGAACTTTCGATGGATGTATAAAAAGGAACTAATTGTTTTTTTTTTTTAATTTTATGTAGGAGGGACTTCGTTTAATTTAATGCAAAGCATGTCGCTGTCTCGACTAAAAAACCAGCATTTTTCAATATCATTTATAAAGGCTGTTGATGTTCGTGTCTGAAAATCATGTCACTTTATTAATAAACGTCAAGTCGACCGTAAAAAAATTAGAATATAAACCAAATCAATGCAGACGGCGATTGTTTGAAACACGACGAAGTCTCTTGCCCAAAAACAGGGCGTGCTGGAAGATTGACGATCACAAGTAATGTCGCCTTGTGTTCAGGCCCGTATTAAGCGAATTCATTAATTTTCTTCGCGCCTGGATCTTCATTTCGGGGTTTAATATACGAAAGCGCTACATTCTTTCCCGAATAAAAAGTAACATTCAGATACTCCTTATCAGGAAAGGATTTTACTTTTTCTATGCGGAGAATGTTGGTACTTTTTTAATAAACAGTATGGTATGGAATTACCTGGGAGGTTACTCTGCACCTTTTCTTCCCTGAAATCAGGAAAATCGTGCATTATGGACAGGAATATAGTAAAAAAACTGTTTACGGTCCTCTGGAAGAAAGTACGGCATCCCCTTCCGGGAGTTTACCGCCCTCTGCTTCTTCTTGGGTGACAATTCATACCCGAAAAGGAACCTAGTACTTTCTTTCCTTGGGAATGATTTCAGTGGGCTCATGGGATTTGATGGTCCCCTTGGACCTTGGAGCGCAATGTTTTACTCTTTTATTACCCAACCAAAATTAATGCCGATTTTTAAGGACAGTTACCAATTTTGAGATAAATGGATTTTACCCAGACAAAACGTGAAGGTATATAAATTATGTGTTTAGTTTTAAATTATTTTCTAGAATCGTCAATGTTGGCGGAATACATTTAATCAGTAAAGTACCTATTATATGTATGTGTATTATAAACAGAAAAAAGTTTCTGTATTTTTACCTATCTTACTATACAAATTTCGAAAAGAAAGTATTCGCAATGCTTTTAAATAAATTGTAGTTTTTTCTTTTGTCTGGTTCGCGTAAAGAAACGAAAAGTGGTAAACTTTACGTAATAAATAGTAAAATATCTAGTTATAATAAACGACTTATAAAAAAAATAAAAATAAAATATCGTTATTTTAGTGGCAAACTTAGGCAACTAATATTACACGAATCATAGAAAGGAGCGTTCTTTTACCAAAAAAAATATTTTTTATGTTTTATAGTGCGGTCCTGCCTTATAAAATAGCTTACCCTAAAAACACGTGCAGGTTGAGTTATTTAGTACTCTGGAGATACCCTCTGCAACATAAGGGTGAACTAAAATCCCTTAAAATATAAAAACATATTAAAACATATTTCTTCAATACACCAACTATATAAAAACAATTCTAAGAATTTTAATAGTGTCATCCTATAACCAACGTATAAGATTATCTAGTCGAAGACGATAATTACTATTATTTATGAGAAGTGATGAATGAAGACATGATGATAAAGATTAAAGGTAGTAGGAAACTGAGTGACGATAAAGAAATGTGATGTTCAAAATGGACTAAATAATTGTAGGCAGCTAGAGATACCAAACTACAAAAATTTTACTTTTTCAAGCAGTTTAATTTTTAAAATAAATAAACCCACCTTTACAAATTAATGTTTGTGTTTTGGATTTTTTATTAAGGCATTCCACACATGGAATGTAAAGTCCAACACGCTGAAGTATCTAATGAAAACAGATTTTATTGAACATTATGAATATTATATTGTATAGTTNTTTTTAAAAAAATAACTACTGTTTTCTAGTGATAGTGATTTTATGCAAAACAAATTAATTTTTGAAGTTCTTCATTTTATTTTCAAGTTAAGATAAAAACAAATTTCAAAGTAATTCTCTTAATCTTTTATTTACTGAGATAGTACAAAAATTCAAAATTTGTAATTTCAAAAAAATTTTTTTCCAACTTTAAAAAATTTTAGTCGCCATCCTGTATATTATAAAATTTAAAGTATAATGTAAGAACACAGTTAAATGGCATTCTTAAGGAACTTCAGCAACAAGAGCAGAGTGGCGCAGTGGAAGCGTGCTGGGCCCATAACCCAGAGGTCCGTGGATCGAAACCACGCTCTGCTAGTTCTCTTTTTTCCGCAATTTTTATAAATTAACACGGAAATTGAGTTATTTATTTTAAAATAGAAAGGGCGTAGTATTTATAATCTTATCTACAAACATAGGTGTTCTTTTTGAAATTGAATTATTATTCTTAACTTTATGGGTTATGGTTTAATTACTATAGGTCAAGTATTTCATATATAGTATAAGTTGTCTTATTGACATTTAAAAAATACATGTCGCTAATTAACGTATTTGATAATATTTTTATCGTTTCATCAAGCTAAACAAATATGAGAAGGTGTAGAAAACAGGTAGAAAGAAAATATGCTAAGCAATCCATTTAACTAAACCTTAATCTCAATTTTTAGACAGATTCTTTTACTTTTTTAAAAAGAAGTCCATCTTTAGTAAAAAAGATCTTACCAACACCCTCACAATGTCGAACAGTACAGAAAAAGTTAATAGGAGTCAAAATGGGCAAGTAACAATACTTATGATGAACTGATATCTAATAATAAAGTAAAATTAGATTCACTATTTACTATTTTAACGAATTTCTTAAGATAAGACTAGGTAGAGTTATCAAATTTTCGAATTAAAATAAATAATTACTAGCCACAATTAGGGCAAAAATCTATAAAAGGTACAACAATAATTTTGTAATTGGAAAAATAGAATTACTTGACTAAGTTGATGTAATTGTGTATGTACTTGTTACTGAAATCATCTTTGAACGGGTCACCTCTAAGTATCTACCCTTGAAAAAGACCAACGTGGTGGAAAATATTTCATTAATGTTTAACAGTAATATTAATTGTTGGTTGAAACATTTAGATGTCGTTTTTTTATTAATCAGATACTACAAAAGAACCCAGTATATGCTCAATAACACCCGGTGCCCCTTGTTGTAATGATCCTGAATGTACGTGTCCCGAAAAGATCCTTCTACAACAGTTGAGATCAAGAAGTTCACCGCTGTTTTGTACTATCGCCCAACAGGGCATACCCGATATACAGAAGTCACCTTTTACCCCCGATATGCTTATCACGGGTTTCGGCTTGAGAAATCTATCTTCGATGCAACAAGCCCTATTAGCACAGAGGATGGGAGATAAGGAATCAGTTGAAGAAGAATATTATGGATCCATCACCGATTTTGATAAGTCCACCTCTTCACAAACTGAAATCACTTTGACTTCAAGCGCTTCTACCGTCGAAATAGAACAGAAAAAGAAAAAGTATGAGAACTTTTGCTGTCTCATTTATTAGTGACAATAAAAAGTATATGTATGTGCCTTTTCCGCGTGAGGCTTTTGCTTACAATCCAAAAAAGGTATCTCTTTGAGACAGTCTTGTTCTTGCTTTATTCATCACTTTACTAATAAAACAATTTGATATTGATTATCGTAACTAAAACGACGAAAAGTAGGAATTTTTAAGGACCAATTAAATTTTAAATCTGGGAAAATTTTCCAGTCATACAGTAATCTTGAAAAGATACATAATTGCTAAAAAATTAACAATCACAAGAGATCATCCATATGCTTTCAGTTAAGATCGGTAAAAATCCTTTTGGATTCTTTCATGTAAAGAACTTATTTTCGTAAAAGCAAAAGCCTTCTCTTTTGAAAAAAGCTTCGAAAGCTATTTATTTGATCACCCATTAATTTCTGATATCAAGGCTGGAGTATTTCATGGGCATAACAGCCACAATGGACGAGGCTGAAGAAGAAAAAGCAGAAGAGGAAGTTTCAAAATATGTTCAATTTGAAGAGGTGCCTAGTGAAGAAATATTTACGGGTGACACAGAATCCATGCGTCAGGCCCAAAAATATTTGCGAGTTCATAGAATATTTGAATTTTTTCAATTTTTAATAGCTCATTTGCTGAGTGCAATTCCAGGTCTGTTATAACAATCGTAAAAAGTGTGCAAAAATTTAATGAGATATGATCGTCTGTAGATAATCCAATTGAGTTTTTGATTGAGCTTTTGGAAAAGTGTTTAATTTATAGATCAGGAATCGGGGAGCCACCCTTACTTTACCGGAGACCTCACATCGGTAAGATAGAGATATCATTAACTATAAGATAATAGATGATCAAGTTACTACGTAGTTAAAATAAATCGAAAAAGATGCAGTGTTTTTGATTATTTTCTTCACAAAAGCTCATATCTAGAAACTAACTTTTTGTAAAGGTTATTGTTATCATCAGTGGGTTTTAGCAAAAGAATTTTGAACAATTTGAATATCTTTCCTATAAAGTTTCAAATTTATGTTCTGATACGCAATCAAAAATTCTTCGATTCTTCAGTAAAACAATCAGTTTCAATCAACTGTAAAAATTCAAATTTATAGCAAAGAAACCCATTGCTGGGTTTTGGTAATATCATCATCATAATATTATCTGCAGCCACCTCCACTTGTTGCAAATCTCTACATTTCTCGAAAACTCGATCGGTTATCTAATGTAGATCTACCTTTGCCCCTCTTAACTTCAGTTCCTACTTCTAATAGGTCTCTAACTAACTGATCCTGGGTTATCCGACACCCTAAATGACGAAAATTGACTACCTGTAGTTTTTCATCTCCTATTTTTATATTACTTTTATATATTTTACATTATCAGTGTTCTAGAGTATCTATATGATGGAAGAAATAAGAAGTCATTTACTTGTGTAATACTTCTACTTTCAGGTCAGCTATTTTATTTAATGGATAGGATGGAAACGGGATATATCAGTCTAACTCAATACAGTACAGGTAATAATAGTAAACGTTTGTCATATTTGTCATCTAACACTTAATTTAATTGGACCGTATTCTCTTAAAGGAATGAAAACTTTGGGAATTTGTAATTACATGGCGAATCCACCTTCAACAAAAGACGGATTGGTGGCTAGAGAGTTTTTTATCGATGAGGCGTAATTATAGCTTTTTTGTACCTATATATATTGTATAAACTACTTATGATTAGTAATAACGCTTTTAGGATTAGCAGTTGAACAATTTTGTGTCATAAATTTTACCATCCCATTGAAAAAATTTTGTTCTGGCGAAATAAGTTTCATTAGGATTGCTTTGATGTAGCATACGATTTTAAACAAACTAAATTTTAACTGAAAGCTTTAAATATAGATATTCAAAATTAACTGAACAATTTAATGACATGGTGAAAAAGCATTATTTGAGAGGCCACCGTCCTTCCTTGTCCCAACCACCTCCAACACCTCAACCTACATCCAAAACATGGAGTGGTCCTCTCGATTTTCTTTCAAGAGGTGCCGAAGAAGAAGGCGATGATATGGACGATGAAAAAAAGCTTATCGAATTTTGTAAAGCAAGAAGAAAGGAAACAAAGTAAATTCAAATTCGTTTTATTTACTGCCATCCGGACAAACATTTACATTTGTTTTTTATCTATTTAAAAATATACATATGTATTTATCTCTGGCAGTTGAATTGTTAATAATATTGGAAGTGTGGCGAAATAACTCTTTTTGTTTTTTCTGTGTGTAAATATTTTTTCTAATTTTATTTCATTTCAATTAATATTTCATTTCAAGTAATATTTCCTTTCAGTCTAAACTCTATTGTTCTTTCAATCACTTTTACCTGGAAATCCAACTTCAACCATACCTGCATGCACTCCCATACTAATATCTGGTTTTACCCTTAATTGCTTTCTCTTGAATTCTGTACTATCTAATTCTGTGTATTCCTAGAAACTAGTGTCTTCACCCTCTCTCTCACTACTTTTCCTTCTAGAACATTCTATCAAAATTACTAACAACCCTATCCTATAAATACTCGAAAATTTCTTATCTCAAGACAGTCTCTCGCCTACCGCTACCACCATTCGTAAGTGCTTCGATTATTCCATTATTATTCTCTACATTGTTTTCATTTTTGTTGTTATCTTTGTTATTATTACTGTTCTGTTACCTTGTTCTCGTTTGTTTGTTTCACTCTTTGTGCCTTTTGTTACTTGTGTTTCATTGTTATTGTTATAAACTGTTTTCTGTTATTATTAGTGTTTTTTTGGTATTTAAGTAATACCCATCAAAAGACACTGAAGAAGTTATTCTCTATGCCTAATACCCATGTATTTTTAGTAGTTTTCCACTTTTTGGTCCCCCTCCTCCCTTGTGACGCTTCGTCAAGCAAATCTTTGTGCTATATCACAGTCAGTATCTTTTCTGACTATATCTTACGAACAATAATTTCAGATTATCTGTATATATAGTATATTAAAGGATAAACCGACTGACTAATAGCAAAAATCAACGCAGAACCCAAACCCCTAAGTATAAGGATTTGCACTAAGAAAGGATTTTTTAAAATTCGATCCCTAAAGGGGTTAAAAAGTTTAATGTGTCGATCAAGGTACAACCCAAACCGCTGCGTCAGGAAGCTTGAAATTTTGAACATAGGTTCCTTATACAACAATATCTATCATGCACTACACGAGTAGAATGAGTTTTACAATTACCACCCCTAAAGGTATAAGAAAGGGGTTGGCGATGCTTTTTTAATCTTTCTTGTACTTTTTTTCATGTATTTGGTTTCTTCTATCTTTAAGACATTCCTCGGATAAGTGCAAAATAGCTGGTAGAATTTTACTCTGGTAGGATAAAAAAAATGAACAAGTAATAGTAATAACAAGGATAAGGTAACGAGATAAAAATATAAAAGGATAGGATAAAAAGAGAGAAACTTGACTTAGAATGAGAACTATTCTCACACAAAAATGATAAGAGACCTGAACACACTAGACTGTTGCAGTAATTGTAAAAGAAGTTGTGTTCTGGGGGCCCCTGTATTATGGGGTACCGACCCTAAATGCCCCTATATGTAAATCCGACCCTGCCTACCGTCCATTAATAAATAATTGCATGAGCAAATATATCTCTTTATCACCTACCATGAGTAATTTGATAGGTTCTTCTACCTCAGGTAGATACCACTTATTTTCTTCGCATCCTCCTTTGTCATTACGTTATTAGCTTTTTAAAATTCTAGCATCGAACATTTGATTAATTGAGGAGAAAAATTCAGTTAAACAAACACTTTGCTTGTCACATTAGAGTACCAAAGTAATAAAACTACTCGGGTACTAACTACTACTACATCTTGACTACCGGTAAGGCATTTTTTTCTCAATACACTTCCCTGTTGTTCCCATACAATACAGAGAGACAGAATAAACTCAAATGCGTAAGTAAACGTTTCTGTAAGTCATACGCTCCTTCGGAGAACCGAATGTAAACAGTACGTGATAATTTTGAAATTCTTTTCAAGAGTGTTCTCTTAAAATTTATTCGTCCAGTCGAAACGCTAAGTCCTAAGCAAGCTGCCGCGGCGGGGTTCGAAATGGCAGAACAAATAGCATTTGTTTACTTTGTGCTGACCAATCCCCGCTATGGTCACATTAGCACCTACACATTAAAGAAAAGAAGAAAAAAAAAAGAAGAATAGTCGATGTAGCAGTTCTCGGGTCGAACAAGTGGCGAGCACCTTCTGTTTATCCAAGAAGGCGTGCTCTGTATACTTTTTAAATCTCAAATGACAACTGATACTCTTTACATCTTTTGTATGAACGAAACTGGTTCTTATGTGTACTCATAACCGGGATCTATTTGCGCCTTTTGAAAAGGTTAGGGCCTAAAAAGTAACAGAAGTACGGTTTCAAGCTACTTAGGACAAAGAAACCAAAACAGAAATGATTTTAGTGCATATTTTAAAAAAAAAAGAACACATATTAATGATATTCTGCAAATTGGATCATGTTTCTGAGAAAGATATTTCGAGTGTCAAAATGGAATTTTGCAAGCTTAGGGCCTAAAAAGTAACAGACGTACGAAGATACTTATGACATAGAAACTAAAACAGCGATCATTTTAGTGCCTATTTAAAAAAAGCACATTAATGATATTCTGCAAAATTATATCGTCAGGGATGCACACTGTCACCGCTACTTTTTAATATATACTGATACTAAATATATTTTTGTTTTGTTTAGATTATTATCGAAAAGGGGAAATCTTCAAGAGATACCCCCTGAACATACTAAATATACTACAGAATGTCTTTATATACAACATTCACAGTGTTTTTGTCATTAGACAATACAAACCGGCCTCCCGGCCGGTACCATAGCGCATGCAGCGGTCCCTGCATTTTAAATCTGTAATATCTTCGAAAATATTCATTTAAATTACATGCTGTAAGGGCCATATTGATCTATATTAAATGCACAATGTATTTAAAGTACTTAATTGGATAAGAATTAATGCTGTATTGCCTAAAATCGCTTCGTAAATAAGTCATTATTTCTCATAAAAAGTAAAGGATAAAAATGGTTATTGTGGGTTATCCCTAAGAAATAGACATATACGATCGCGGACTTTTTTGTAGACTCTTTTCAGATGTACAATATTGTAGTACATTATTTTGATCTGTCTCGTAGGGTTCAGCCAGCGTTTGCAATTTAAGCGCAAAAAATGTGTATTTACATCACATTAGAAACCTCTAAAATTATCAGTGTTTCCCTACTATATTATGCATGTATTATACATATGAACCTTCCTCTGTAGTGAAGACGCAATCAACATCATTAAAGACAGTGCAACTGTAGGGATAGATATACAGAGGCAGAAGATTAGTATGCTTAGATTTGCAGTATTAAAGAATAATAAGGCGCCAGCTGTAGATGGAATACATGAGGAAATTCTAAAACATGCAGGACAAGAGGATAGAGATTGAATGTTTAAGCTAGTTAGTTACATTTACGAGACGGGGAAAGTTCCAGAGGATTATAAACGGAACGTAGTAGTAACCATACCTAAAAAGAGAGGCGCAAATAGGTGCGAGACATTTAGAACAATTACCTTAACTTCCCATGCGTCAAAAATCTTAACTAGAATTGTACAGAGGAGGATGGAAAAAAGGGCGGAAGAACTATTAGGGGTAGATCAATTTGGGTTTAGAAGAAATAGAGGAATGCGGTAGGCCATTCTAGCTTTACGGGTAACAATAGATAAAACGATAGAAGAAAGAAAGAGGGCGTATATAGGATTTGTAGATTTAGAAAAAGCTTTTGACAATGTTAAATGGGACAAGATGTTAAACATACTTAAAAATGTAGGGATGAGATTGTTACATACGAATGATGAGGATACCGTGGATAGAGAAGGTTAGAAATGAAGAGGTATTAGAAATAATAGAACAGAGGATGGAAGTCAATAAGAAATAGGCGAGATAGGTTGGTAGCACACCTCCTCAAGCAAGAAGGTCTAGTCAGAGACATATTAGAGACAGAAACGAGTGTGGGATGTTCTAGTTGTAGGGAAATGCGAAGATGAGCTCAGAATAGGAAAGAGTGTCCAACCAGTCTTAGGACTGATAACTTTATGATGATCTAGGTAAGACATTTCGAGTGTCGAAATAGAGGTTTGCAGTTTTTGAAGATTTCCTGGTAATCTTTTGTTGTACTATTATAAATTACATAAAAACTATACTATTTCGCATACTGTTTATACTATTTTGAGAATAATATAAACAAAACTTATTTATAATACATTTTAAGATGGCGTCTTTGACGGAAGCACATCCGATGCTCCACACAAAAAATTACTTGCTCCTGCAGCTATTCATCTTTCATTTTGTGAAATACAACCGTCATAGGTATACTATATTTGGATTTAATATTAAAGCGGTTCTGCTTATATAAATAAATTAAATAATATATAAAAAAAGGATTGTTTTTCAATGTTGGACATCTTACATATGTATCCTGTTATTTAATATTGTTGAGCTTACTAGCGCGACGTGCAATTCAATTTTTTTTTTTAATAAAAACTGTAGACATCTGCCTCTCAGTTTCCCTTTAAACAATAACCGTTGATTGGCTAGGTTTCAACAGATTATGTTCAGTGTGACAGTGATTGACAAATATCGACAAATGCTCGAAACGGCTATCTGAATTTGTCATCGATTGAATTAAAATTGCTAATATGTTTAAGAGTTTACATTCATGCTTCGAACAATGATAACAAATAAAAACATAAATACATGTGGTGTACATGCAACCCTTATTTGAAAATGGCCCTTATATACAGGGTGGCCCATAAAAATGACGTTAATTTATTGGGTCTGCGGTCCCCAAACTCTTTAGCCTAAGGGTCATTCTAACTCTTCCGCTAAGCTCCAAAAGCTAAGGCCTACTGTAATTTTGACAGTGATGCACTCCGATTGATTTGCCAACGGTATCGATTGCCGCCTCAGGCATTCGCTCAGTAGAATTAATACTAAGCAAATCGATAAAATTTAAAAATATCTCTTTTATACCACTGATTATTATCAGTATCTTTTTGAATAGAACTATTCATGTTCATTCTTACAGGAAATAATCATTCGTTTAATATTTTATTATTT